ATGCCGAAGATTTTCTTGATCAAGGAGCGCCTGCAGGAGCAGCAGACGAGGCTCCTCGAGGCACAGAAGGCGGGCGCGACACTCGAAGACGATCGTGGCAGCAGTGATGTCAGCAGCTTCAGAGACTCGTCCTCCTCCCTGGATATGCGGAGGGACAGGTCTCTGCCCAGGATATTTCACATGGACACATCCTCCCCGCCGCCGCGGAAGGAGAACACCTCCCAGCCCCTCGACCTCGCGCGAGAGAGTCGCCTCGACCTGGTGCGGGAGGACAGACTGAACTTGTCACGAGAGAGCCGACACGACATCTCACGCGACGGCCGGCTCGACCTGTCACGGGAGAGCCCCCTTGACCTGGAGCAGGACAACTGTTCCCTCGACCTCCGGCTGGGAGACAGGTCCCGCGAGAGGCGCCCAACGAGTCCCAGAAGTCCCTCTCGATATACGTCTCCGCACCTGCTGGAGGAGCACCCCGACGATCAGCCGCTCTCGCTCACCATCCGGGACAGAGGTAAGAACGCCGGGCCGAGACCAGTTCAGGCGATGCGTCTCCGTCATTTTCTTTTTCCTTTTAGATTAGTTTGGGATTTGGATGAATTTTGAATATGTGCGGCCTGTTAATTTTCCTTGCAAGTGTTGAAGCATACTGGTTGGCCTTCTTTTTTCGTGCCTTTCCTGCCAACTCATGAATGCGAGTTTCCTGAAAGTGTTTCGTCACATTAGCTGTTTGTTACCTAAACAAAACAACCGGTAGATTTAAATTGCGTTTTGCTGCCATTTTTAAAACGCAGGACAGCAGCCATAACATTAAACATTACAGGGGAGTACGTAATAACACCAAGACCCCTCGGATCAGAAGGAAAGCGAAAACAGAACGAAACACATCGTTAGGGGAAGTAGGAAGTGGTTGCGCCACAGTCCTGTCGGCGACTTGTTGACCCTGGCCGTACAGGTACTCCCAACGGGACTTTAGAAAAGATGTTTGGAAAGGAGCATTGGGTGCTGGATCCTATATGGACTCAAACAGGTTCCTCGGTGCCCAGATCTTACCAAGGGATCCAGGGTTTATAGTCTTGGGGTTATCTCTGGCAAGTCGAGTCAACGGTCCAGCGGACAGGCTGGAGGGGACGTGGCCCTTCGGGATGCGTAGTTATCCGCTCCATGGACGTCCTCTGGTGGAAGGAGGAGGGAGACCAAGGGCGCCCTCCTTCGCCTCCGCAGTGGAGGGAGACGCCACTGGTACGACAAGTTTTCTCAAAACTTATGTCAACTACTTATTATATGATGGAGCCGACACGGTTGGGCGGTTCGCTAGGCTTCTTATATAAGGTAGTCCAGGTTGTTGAGTCCGTGATGACCACGTCCCTATGCATCTCCCGAGCTGACCGTCAGCCCGCATTTGCTCTTGCCATGACACAAGGAACCAGAAGGGCCGTATGTATGGCTGATATTTGTATGTATGCTGTCAGAAGAGTAGTCGGTGGGACTAGTGAAAGCATTCTTGCATCACGCCGAGGCTCTCATGCCGCCCTGTCACTATTCATACTGACCGCCATTCGATTGTTAATTACAACCTTAATGGGCCGAAAATGAGAGCATAACCCTCACGGCGTCCCGCAGAAATTTCCCCCTAATCGAAAAACCTTGCAAGTCTACTGGGTGAAGTACACAGACATACACATACACCCCACTTACACAGACGCACACACACATTGTTACCGTTTCTCTCCCCCGGAAAGACACTGGCAAGGTCACATCGCGACGATTCGACCGAACCTCTTTAGCTTTCGGTCAAGCGCTGGTCGGCGGCGGTCAAGCGAAGGGTCTCCCAAAGGCCGGGCATGACACTTCGGTCCGTGTCATTTTGAGCTTCGCTCGGCCCAAAGGACGGGAGCTTCGGGCCGCGGAGAGTCGCTCGAGCCCCAGATTCGCGTCGACGAAAGCTCGAAAAGATATGGAAGGTGAGCGAGTCCCTCTGCGCGCCTCCAATGGCCAGACAAGGTTGAAAGAAGAAACTATCTAGATCGGTGACAAGCGAATCGCGGCTTTGTGAGCACGAGGAAACTTGTTGACTGTGTGTATGTTAATCTAAACCTCTTTGCATATATATATATATATATATATATATATATATATATATATATATATATATATATATATAATATATATATATATATATATATATATATATATATATATATACATATACATACATGTACATATACATATATATACTATACATATAATATATATATATATATATATATATATATATATATATATATAATATTATTTTATTTATTTATTTATATGTGTGTACATACCATAATTTATCTGTTCATCAATTTCCGCCAAGAGCATGGCCCAGGAGAGCCAACAGGCGCCACTGCGACGCAGCCTTTCTATGCCCCGGCGAGGGCATTCCCCCCCCCCCCCCCCTGCATGGTCCTTATCAGTCACATCTTATCACGCGGAGCAAGAATCACGAGGGTTGCGGGAGCGGCCGAGAGCGTTGCTCCACATGGACAGGCGCGCAGGCACTACAGTTACCTGGCCTTCGCACAGGGTCGCCTCTAACTTTCTAACAAGAGAGACAAGACGGCCTGTAAAGAGGAACCTTTTTGCCTTACTTTTTTGCCCTTGACACACAGCGCATATCAAAAAACAACAGGCGTATCTGGCCGATCTGCGACGCTGCCCTCCTTTTCTGCCTTTCTCGCGCCTCCTCCTATTCCTCCTTCTCCGTCTCTTCTTGCTCTTCTTTTTCCTCCTCTTCCTCGGCGTCGTCGTCATCGTCCTCCTCCTCCTCCTCTCATCATCATCATCATCATCATCATCATCATCATCACCACATCATCACCATCATCGTCGTCATCATCATCACCACATCATCACCATCATCGCCGTCGCCGCCGTCGTCGACAAGAAAAACCTTCTAGCGTTAAGTTGTTTTGACGTCTTTAGGTCTTCAGTAGTAAAGCAAAAAAGAATATCGTAATGCCTTCATATTCTTCCCGGCGACAGAACGAAAGAAATCCACATTTTCCCCTTCATCCCGAGCCCCCAAAGGTGAGAGAGAAGCAACTCGGCCATTGGGAAATCCTGAAACCCGATCCAGACGGCAAAACGACCCAACACCTTCGTTCGATAAAAGCCAGCTGGATAAAGAATGGGGCCATGACGTCACGACCTCATAGCGTCGGAAGGCTGCCACAGAACGGGGCGGGAGAGGAGGGGGGCGGGTGAGCGGGAGGGACTAGCGTGGCACCCCCTCCCTACTTCTCCCCCTCCCCCTCCTCTTCCCCGACTCGCTCAGGAGGGGGCAGATCTTGGTTTCTGACCGGAGGCTGGGATAACTGCATGGTGATTACCTACCCTTCTTATCTTCTTCCCTTCGTCTCATTATCCTCCTTCCTCCTCCACTCCTCATCGCTCCCTCCTCTCCTCTTCATTTCTCTTCGCTCCCTCCCTCTCCTCTCTTTTCTCCTCTTCACTCCTCATCGCTCCCTCCCTCTCCTCTCCTTTATCCTCTTCACTCCTCACGCTCCCTCCCTCTCTTCCCGTCCTTCCTTGTGTCCCCTATCCTCCCCCCGCTTCGGTGCCAGCCTCTCCCGGCCTGAATCCAATAATATACCAGTTACGGTGAGAACATACCTTGACACCGAGGAGGATATAGGCTGTCCTGTCTGGGAAAGACCTGTTAGGCGTCCTTCGTGGGAACGTTGGGGGGCGTGGTCGTCGGGGAGCGTCACGTAGGCTCAGGTTGCGGCCGCGCGCTGAATGCTAATCAGTCGTGGGCCTTATTGGCTCTATAGGCATTGCTGGTCGTCTCCCCCCCCCCTTCTTTTCACGCCTTGCTGTTTACTCATCGGGTGCAAAACAAACGATTGGAATGCTTCATTTCGATTCTTTCGCTGTCAAACCCGGCGTTAAGTATCTCTTTTATGGCATGATATCAACGAGGTTATCGTACCCGTTATGTCATTTATATCTGCCGATGCTGTAAGGTCACCGTATGGCTATCCACTACTGTTCAAATGTCAGCCGATAATGACTCCTGTCTCCACCAATCACAGCTGGACCTTTCTTCTCCGAGCTCCACCTCCGAAGGCTGGCGTTACCAAATAGCAAAGGTCGGGCTACCACACGCTTAATTTCCTCACCTGAAAATTTTTGTTTGGGTCACCTGGCAGTTCAGACCCCCCCCCTACCCATCCTCTCCCACACTCCTCCTCTCTTCCCTCCTCCCCTGTTCTTCCCTCCCTCCTTGCCCTTTTGCTCCTACGGGTTTCACAACGGCCTCGGATGAACCTTCCAGAGGCGAGGCCCAGTCCCCAGGCGGCGTAGGTGGCGTTATTGGACCTTCACTTACTCACCTAGGCTTAAAATCGGTGCTCCCGATGCCCTGCCCCGAGGAACCGTCTAAATCTCTCCAAGGGAAAAAACGTGACTGAGATATTAAGAATCTCTCTCTCTCTCTCTCTCTCTCTCTCTCTCTCTCTCTCTCTCTCTCTCTCTCTCTCTCTCTCTCTCTCTCTCTCTCTCTCTCTCCTCTCTCTCCATCTCCATCCATCTCTCTCTTTTCTCCTTTCCCTCCCTCTCCTCCCCCCCCCCTCTCCCTTTCTCCCTCTGTCTCGCCCAGATATTTCGTAAAAGAATCATTTCTTGTCTCTTTGTACAGTACTCCCGTCATTTCCATTCATCACGTCATGCCGAATCTCATAACATGACTATCCTTGGATAACTGTCTGCTTTGTATGATAATTACTGAACTCTTTGGATGGCTGCCAGTGTTCTAGGATAACTGTCCTCCTCTGCCGCCTCTGTCTCGAATTACACTGAAAGCGGGTCAAGAAGCCGTAGCTGTCAGTTTGTTACGGTTTGTGACATTTGACATCCACGTTCCTCTTTTGGGTTTATTACTTGAAAGGTTGCTGTGTTTAGAATCAGGCAATTAGCCCCAGAAAGTGTAATTTTATTGTTTTCGATGATTGCGGAGTTTCCTTCAATAACGCCGCCACCGCAGACCTGCTGGTGCGCTGCCGCATGAGTCACTTTGTCCAGGTACGCGCTGAGCTTCAATAAGTCACTTTCATTTAGAGAGTGAGAAAGTGTCCCCCATCCGCACCTCCTCCCCCCGTCCCCCTACACCGAGTAACCTTGGTAACGTCACCCCGCCAGGTACGCGCGCGCACGCACACAACCTCCTCCCTCCCCCTCCCCCTCCCAGCCTTTCCTGTTGTCTACTCTCCCCTCTTCCCCTCCCCAACCCCCTTGCCCACCCCCTCCTCCACCTGACGCGCCGTGACGACCCTTCTCGTCCAGAGCGGACTCTCTCTCCTTTTCACGCTGCGAAAGAATCCTTACAAGGGGCTCCCCTCCTCTGCCTTTCGTCGGAGGATCCTCGCACTTGAATCCTTTCTGGAGGCCCATCAGGATCACTGCCCCCAATTCCCCGAAGACCCGCGACGCCGTGCGGCCGTGTCCCTCGCGCTGACAGGCGTCGGTCCA